AACCGCGTCGCCGTCTCTCGACGATGAAGAGGCAACAACGTCGTGATGTCTCTGCCCTCTCCACTCGCGGAGCGCAGCAGGGCAACGCGCTGTCCCAACCAACCTCGCTCGCCACGGCGAAATCTCCACCCCCACCCCACCACCTCCTCCTCCTCGCGCGCGCGAGAGGTGACGGCCCCAATTCGCGGTTGGCCGCTATGAATGTCCAACGTGATGTAACTGAGCCACTTTTCGTCGAGCGATCGTTTGTGGCCGGGTAGCTTCTGAAAAAAAAGCCGTGATGGCTCGGTGGGCCTTACCTGGTATAATCAAAATAGTAAATTGTACAAAATGTAATTAGAAGCGCGCTTCAACGGCAAAAAAACAGCGGTTCCCTGCTGGTCTTCTCATATACAGTGCACAAATATTCGTCAATAACACTGTGGACTTAAAATGACAAATATGTTAGTTGAACTTCGTTTGCACCGTACGTAGCCAACCGTGGGGGAAATGCGCCTTCTTCATACCACGTGGAGAAGAAGGGCCACTGATGCGCCGTGAAGAAGGACCATTGTCCGAAACGTCGTCTATTATAGATTTGTCCCTTTGAGGCCAGTGTTGGTAAGGAGCGTGTGGCGTTCTTGTTGTTTGTGCACCACTGCCAGCGCAGCAGCAGCCAAGCACCTGACATGAGTTCGACACAGAGACGGGAGGAGGCCCCAACACACGTGTGTGTGTGTGGGGGTCGGCAAATGCCCCTCATTTCCGTCCGGCCGCTTTCTTTTTACCCCGAGAGCAAAGAGCCCAGGCGATATAAACACACACACACGCGTGGACGCATACACACACACGCGTGGACGCGCACACACACGCGCGTGTGTACAAAAAAAGACAGATTCCCCCGTATAGCCTGAACAGGCCGTTGGGGCAAGTGCTGTTAGCGAGCACCTATGAAGGCCGGCACGGCACCCGAGGGGGCGCGTTGCCAGCACCACACCCGACCGCGCGTGTACACAGACACGCGCGTGTGTGTACACACACACGCGCGTGTACACACACACACAGTTGGGGCCGGGTCCACGTGGTGGCTGGACGCCGGACGGAGTCGTCCCTACTCAGCGAGACGCCGCCTCGCAGCCGCCGTGGGGAATGGCGATGGAGAAAGTTGTCGGCAAGAGACGGACGGACGGGAACTTTGAACAAGACGTGAACCGGGGCTGAACCTATCCCTCGTGTGGTTCGGAGCCGGACGGAGTCGTCCCTACTCAGCGAGACGCCGCCTCGCAGCCGCCGTGGGGAGTGGCGATGGAGAAAGTTGTCGGCAAGAGACGGACATACGGGAACTTTGAACAAGGCGTGAACCGGGGCTGAACCTATCCATCGTGTGGTTCGGAGCCAGAGTGCCCCACAACACACACACACGCCCATCAGAGGCGACGTATATACGATGTAAGAGAGAATGAGATCAAGCGAAATTGCACACACACGATCTGTACACGCGTCTAAACCCACGTGCTGACCACACCAAACTTATACCGTCCTAGTTTATGCCGAGTGAACCTAGGGGAGGCCTAGACTAGGTTCACATACCGATTGTGCAGATGTGGTGGTGGTGGTGGTGACGATAATAAGCCCCGATTTAGAACGCGCACGAGATTCATGCGGTGAGCTGCTAACTCGAGTCCCATAGGCGCGTGATGGTGGTGACCTGCTGCTGTGGTTTGTGCTGTGGTTGTGGTGTTGTTATGCTGTGGTTGTGCTACTGTTGTGCTGTGGTTGTACTGTAGTGATCCTGTTGTGCGTTGCTTTGCGATTATTATGACGCGATGCGGTCTGGTGGTGGTGGTGACATTTTTGTGACGTGATGTTGCTGTGGTAGACATGTATTGTGAAGACGTTGTGGTGGTAGTGGAGGTGGTCATGGCATGTAACATTGTTGTCGTGCTAGTTATAGTGCTAGTTGTAGTGCTAGTTGTAGTGCTAGAAGCAGTGCTAGTTGTAGTGCTAGTAGTAGTGCTAGTTGTAGTGCTAGTTCTAGTGCTAGTAGTAGTGCTAGTTGTAGTGCTAGTAGTAGTGCTAGTAGTAGTGCTAGTAGTAGTGCTAGTTGTAGTGCTAGTAGTAGTGCTAGTTGTAGTGCTAGTTGTAGTACTAGTTGTAGTGCTATTTGTAGTGCTAGTAGCAGTGCTAGTTGTAGTGCTAGTAGCAGTGCTAGTTGTAGTGCTAGTAGTAGTGCTAGTTGTAGTGCTAGTTGTAGTGCTAGTTGTAGTGCTATTTGTAGTGCTAGTCGTAGGGCTAGTTGTAGTTCTAGTTGTAGTGCTATTTGTAGCGTTAGTTGTAGTGCTAGTTGTAGTGCTAGTAGTAGTGCTAGTTGTAGTGCTAGTTCTAGTGCTAGTTGTAGTGCTAGTTGTAGTAATAGTAGTAGTGCTAGTTGTAGTGCTAGTAGTAGTGCTAGTAGTAGTTCTAGTGCTAGTTCTCGTGCTAGTAGTAGTGCTAGTAGTAGTGCGAGTTGTAGTGCTACTAGTAGTGCTAGTTGAAGTGCTAGTTGTAGTGCTAGTAGTAGTGCTAGTTGTAGTGCTAGTAGTAGTCCTAGTAGTAGTGCTAGTAGTAGTGATAGTTGTAGTGCTAGTAGTAGTGCTAGTTGTAGTGCTAGTAGTAGTGCTAGTTGTGCTAGTTGTAGTGCTAGTTGTAGTGCTAGTAGTAGTCCTATAGTAGTGCTAGTGGTAGTGATAGTTGCAGTGATAGTTGTAGTGATAGTTGTAGTGCTAGTAGAAGTACTAGTTGTAGTGCTAGTAGTAGTGCTAGTAGTAGTGCTAGTAGTAGTGCTAGTTGTAGTGCTAGTTGTAGTGCTAGTAGTAGTGCGAGTTGTAGTGCTAGTTGTAGTGCTAGTAGTAGTGATAGTTGTAGTGCTAGTAGTAGTGATAGTTGTAGTGCTAGTAGTAGTGCTAGTTCTAGTGCTAGTTGTAGTGATAGTAGTAGTGCTAGTTCTAGTGCTAGTTGTAGTGCTAGTTGTAGTACTAGTTGTAGTGCTAGTAGTAGTGCTAGTTGTAGTGCTAGTAGTAGTGCTAGTTGTAGTCCTAGTAGTAGTGCTAGTTGTGGTGCTAGTTATAGTGATAGTAGCAGTGCAAGTAGTAGTGCTAGTTCTAGTGCTAGTTGTAGTGATAGTTCAAGTGCTAGTTGTAGTGCTAGTAGTAGTGCTAGTTGTAGTGCTAGTAGCAGTGCTAGTTGCAGTGCAAGTAGTAGTGCTAGTTCTAGTGTTGTAGTGCTAGTTGTAGTGCTAGTTGTAGTGCTAGTTGTAGTGCTAGTTATAGTGATAGTAGCAGTGCAAGTAGTAGTGCTAGTTCTAGTGCTAGTTGTAGTGATAGTTCAAGTGCTAGTTGTAGTGCTAGTTGTAGTGCTAGTTGTAGTGCTAGTTGTAGTGCTAGTTCTACTGCTAGTTGTAGTGCTAGTTGTAGTGACAGTTCTAGTGCTAGTTGTAGTGCTAGTTGTAGTGCTAGTAGTAATGATAGTTGTAGTGCTAGTAGTAGTGCTAGTTGTAGTGCTAGTTGTAGTGCTAGTAGTAGTGATAGTAGTAGTGCTGGTAGTAGTGCTAGTTGTAGTGCTAGTTGTAGTGATAGTAGTAGTGCTAGTAGTAGTGACAGTTGTAGTGCTAGTTGTAGTGCTAGTTGTAGTGCTAGCAGTAGTGCTAGTTGTAGTGCTAGTTGTAGTGCTAGTTGTAGTGCTAGTTGTAGTGCTAGTTGTAGTGCTAGTTGTAGTGCTAGTTGTAGTGCTAGTTGTAGTGCTAGCAGTAGTGCTAGTTGTAGTGCTAGTTGTAGTGCTAGTTGTAGTGATAGTTGTAGTGCTAGCAGTAGTGCTAGTTGTAGTGCTAGTTGTAGTGCTAGTTGTAGTGCTAGCAGTAGTGCTAGTAGTAGTGATAGTTGTAGTGCTAGTTGTAGTGCTAGTTGTAGTGCTAGTAGTAGTGATAGTTGTAGTGCTAGTAGTAGTGCTAGTTGTAGTGCTAGTTGTAGTGCTAGCAGTAGTGCTAGTAGTAGTGATAGTTGTAGTGCTAGTTGTAGTGCTAGTTGTAGTGCTAGTTGTAGTGCTAGTTGTAGTGCTAGCAGTAGTGCTAGTTGTAGTGCTAGTAGTAGTGCTAGTTGTAGTGCTAGTTGTAGTGCTAGTTGTAGTGCTAGTTGTAGTGCTAGTTGTAGTGCTAGTTGTAGTGCTAGTTGTAGTGCTAGTTGTAGTGCTAGTTGTAGTGCTAGTTGTAGTGCTAGTTGTAGTGCTAGTTGTAGTGCTAGTTGTAGTGCTAGTTGTAGTGCTAGTTGTAGTGCTAGTTGTAGTGCTAGCAGTAGTGCTAGTTGTAGTGCTAGTAGTAGTGCTAGTTGTAGTGCTAGTTGTAGTGCTAGTTGTAGTGCTAGTAGTAGTGCTAGTTGTAGTGCTAGTTGTAGTGATAGTTGTAGTGCTAGTTGTAGTGCTAGTTGTAGTGCTAGTTGTAGTGCTAGTTGTAGTGCTAGCAGTAGTGCTAGTTGTAGTGCTAGTAGTAGTGCTAGTTGTAGTGCTAGTTGTAGTGCTAGTTGTAGTGCTAGTTGTAGTGCTAGTTATAGTGCTAGTTGTAGTGCTAGTTGTAGTGCTAGTTGTAGTGCTAGTTGTAGTGCTAGCAGTAGTGCTAGTTGTAGTGCTAGTTGTAGTGCTAGTTGTAGTGCTAGTTGTAGTGCTAGTTGTAGTGCTAGTTGTAGTGCTAGTTGTAGTGCTAGTTGTAGTGCTAGTTGTAGTGCTAGCAGTAGTGCTAGTTGTAGTGCTAGTAGTAGTGCTAGTTGTAGTGCTAGTTGTAGTGCTAGTTGTAGTGCTAGTAGTAGTGCTAGTTGTAGTGCTAGTTGTAGTGATAGTAGTAGTGCTATTTGTAGTGCTAGTTGTAGTGATAGTTCTAGTGCTAGTTGTAGTGCTAGTTGTAGTGCTAGTTGTAGTGATAGTTGTAGTGCTAGTTGTAGTGCTAGTTGTAGTGCTAGTTATAGTGCTAGTTGTAGTGCTAGTCGTCCCGTCCTCACCTTGTCGTCCTTCCCCTTGGCCGCGCCATCGTCCCCGCTGCCCCCCTGCGCGCTGCTGCCCGCGCTGCTGCCCCCGCTACTGCCCCCCCGCGTGCCGTTCCGCAGCGCCTTCCCTGGCGGGCCCGCGGCTCCCGCGGAGCCAGAAGCAGACGCAGCAGCAGCCACAGCGGCAGCAGCAGCCGCAGCAGCAGCAGCAGCGTTAGCAGCAGCAGCGCTCTCCACCTTGATGAGACGATGTTTCTGCGACAAGAACTTCACGTCCGCTTGCTGCTGGCTGCCACCACCACCAGCAGTTGCCGCCGGCGACTGCTGCTGCTGCTGTGAAGCAGTCCCGATCTGCTGCTCCGCGTCAGTCGCCTCCTGCTGCTGCTGCTGCTCGCCCTGCATCTTGATGCGCTGCAGGGCGCTGGAGCAGGGTCCGCTGTAGGGGTCCTCGAAGTCCTTGTCCTTCTGCGCGCGGTAGGCCGACAGGAGGAGGTCACCGGTCAGGGCCGGCCCGGGGAGGGCGACCTCCACCCCCGGACCGGCCGAGGTCTTGCGCCGGTAGTCGGGCTTGGGGGGCTGCGGCGGGGCGCGCTTTGCGCCCAGCCCCAAGTGCTCCTTCAGCCATTTGGCCATGCCAGCGGCCCTGCTGCTGACGACGATGGTGACGATGATGTGGAGGAGCCCTGCTGCTGGACGAAGCCGCGGCGGCCGGGCGCCCCGGCGCCCCGGGATTTGGCGACCCTGGCCAGGCCGGCACTGGGTCGGCTCGGGTTCAGCTCGGTCGAGCGCTTCGGTTGTCCTGTGTGCTCCGTCTCTCACTCTCTGCCCTTTCTCTGTCTCCCTCCTCGGGCCGCTGTGTCCTGAATGCCGGGGGCTGCTGTCTTCTCCGAACGCGAGATCCCGCGCCTGCCTGCGCGCGCGGTGAAATCGGAACAGAACCAGAGAGCATAGACCAACTTGAGATGGGAATGGAACCAGAGAACATAGACCAACTTGAGATGGGAACAGAACCAGAGAACATAGACCAACTTGAGATGGGAATGGAACCAGAGAACATAGACCAACTTGAGATGGGAATGGAACCAGAGCACATAGACCAACTTGAGATGGGAATGGAACCAGAGAACATAGACCAACTTGAGATGGGAATGGAACCAGAGAACATAGACCAACTTGAGATGGGAATGGAACCAGAGAACATAGACCAACTTGAGATGGGAATGGAACCAGACAGCATAGACCAACTTGAGATGGGAATGGAACCAGAGAGCATAGACCAACTTGAGATGGGAATGGAACCAGAGAACATAGACCAACTTGAGATGGGAATTGAACCAGCCAGCATAGACCAACTTGAGATGGGAATGGAACCAGAGAACATAGACCAACTTGAGATGGGAATGGAACCAGAGAACATAGACCAACTTGAGATGGGAATGGAACCAGACAGCATAGACCAACTTGAGATGGGGATGGAACCAGAGAACATAGACCAACTTGAGATGGGAATGGAACCAGAGAACATAGAGCAACTTGAGATGGGAATGGAACCAGAGAACATAAACCAACTTGAGATGGGAATGGAACCAGACAGCATAGACCAACTTGAGATGGGAATGGAACCAGAGCGCATAGACCAACTTGAGATGGGAACAGAACCAGAGAACATAGACCAACTTGAGATGGGAATGGAACCAGAGAACATAGCCCAACTTGAGATGGGAATGGAACCAGACAGCATAGACCAACTTGAGATGGGAATGGAACCAGACAGCATAGACCAACTTGAGATGGGAATGGAACCAGAGAACATAGACCAACTTGAGATGGGAATGGAACCAGACAGCATAGACCAACTTGAGATGGGAATGGAACCAGACAGCATAGACCAACTTGAGATGGGAATGGAACCAGAGAACATAGACCAACTTGAGATGGGAATGGAACCAGTCAGCATAGACCAACTTGAGATGGGAATGGAACCAGAGCGCATAGACCAACTTGAGCGGCTGCTGCGGCGGCGGCGGCTGCGCTGAGGTGGGAGCGAGGCGAATGTTGACGGCGGCGAGGCGATGCGCGCGTGCCACCTCCCCCAGCGCTGGCGGCTCGCTCCAATTAGCGAGGCGGCGCGGCTCGGGGCGATGAGACGAGGATTGGGAGGCGGGGGAGGAGAGGTTGACGGGGAGGAGGAAGGAGAGAGGCAGAGGGAGGAGGAGGAGGCGCGTGCCCGCGTGTGTGCGCGCACCCCGGCCTCGTGGCCACTTAAGTTGGTTTTATTTGTTGGGAGGAGGCGCGCGTGTGTGCGCGCGCGTGCGCGCGCGGGGAGAGGAGGGGAGAGGAGGGGACGGAGAAGAGGGAGGTGAGAGGAGTGGACGATTCTGGCTGTATCGAAGGCAGCGATGGGACCAAGTGCGGCGATACGAGGCGGCAGCAGCTGTTGGTGGTGGTGATGTTAGTGATGATGATGGTGGTGGTTGTTGTTGATGGTGGTGGCGATGATGACGCTGAGAGTGTGCACGCCACTGCGTCGGTAGATGGAGGCAAGTTGGGGGTGGAGGTGAACCCCAGACACTCGCACAGCCCGAGCGCAGGCGCGGAGAGCCTCGACGTCTCCTCGAGAAGAGAGACCGAGGGTGACGGGGGGGGGGGAGAGCGATGCGCGCGGGGTGCGACTGAGGAAGGGGTCTGGGTGGGGTTGCGGGGGTGTGGGGCTTCAGGGTCGCAGTGGGGCTTGGGGGATGACAAAGGTGGATGTGGAGGGTGGAGTCGAGGCCTCGTGCGCGGGGCTTGGGTCCCATGCTTCCGCGTCTCGCCCGTGCGCAAGGGCTGGGGGTGGAGTGTGAGGGGGTGAGGGTGGAGTGTAAGGGGGTAAGGGTGGAGTGTGAGGGGGTGAGGGTGGAGTGTGAGGGGGTGAGGGTGGAGTGTGAGGGGGTGAGGGTGGAGTGTGAGGGTGGAGTGTGAGGGGATGAGGGTGGAGTGTGAGGGGGTGAGGGTGGAGTGTGAGGGGTGAGGGTGGAGTGTGAGGGGGTGAGGGTGGAGTGTGAGGGGGTGAGGGTGGAGTGTGAGGCGGTGAGGGTGGAGTGTGAGGGAGTTAGGGTGGAGTGTGAGGGGGTGAGGGTGGAGTGTGAGGGTGGAGTGTGAGGGGGTGAGGGTGGAGTGTGAGAGGGTGAGGGTGGGGGGTGAGGGGGTTATGGTGGAGTGTGAGGGGGTGAGGGTGGAGTGTGAGGGAGTTAGGGTGGAGTGTGAGGGGGTGAGGGTGGAGCGTGTGGGGGTGAGGGTGGAGTATGAGGGTGGAGTGTGAGGGGGTGAGGGTGGAGTGTGAGAGGGTAGAGGGTGAGGGTGGGAGGTGAGGGGGTTATGGTGGAGTGTGAGGGGGTGAGGGTGGAGCGTGTGGGGGTGAGGGTGGAGTGTGAGGGAGTTAGGGTGGAGTGTGAGGGGGTTATGGTGGAGTATGAGGGAGTGAGGGTGGAGTGTGAGGGAGTGAGGGTGGAGTGTGAGGGGGTGAGGGTGGAGTGTGAGGGGGTGAGGGTGGAGCGTGTGGGGGTGAGGGTGGAGTGTGAGGGAGTTAGGGTGGAGTGTGAGGGGTTATGGTGGAGTGTGAGGGGGTGAGGGTGGAGTGTGAGGGGATTATGGTGGAGTGTGAGGGAGTGAGGGTGGAGTGTGAGGGGGTTATGGTGGAGTGTGAGGGAGTGAGGGTGGAGTGTGAGGGGATTATGGTGGAGTGTGAGGGAGTGAGGGTGGAGTGTGAGGGAGTTAGGGTGGAGTGTGAGGGAGTGAGGGTGGAGTGTGAGGGGGTGAGGGTGGAGTGTGAGGGGGTGGAGTATGAGGGGGTGAGGGGGTTATGGTGGAGTGTGAGGGTGGAGCGTGTGGGAGTGAGGGTGGAGTGTGAGGGGGTGAGGTTGGAGTGTGAGGGGGTTATGGTGGAGTGTGAGGGAGTTAGGGTGGAGTGTGAGGGGGTGAGGGTGGAGTGTGAGGGAGTTAGGGTGGAGTGTGAGGGGGTGAGGGTGGAGCGTGTGGGAGTGATGGTGGAGTGTGAGGGGGTGAGGGTGGAGTGTGAGGGGGTTATGGTGGAGTGTGAGGGAGTTAGGGTGGAGTGTGAGGGGGTGAGGGTGGTTTGTGAGGGGGTTAGGGTGGAGTGTGAGGGGGTGAGGGTGGAGTGTGAGGGGATTATGGTGGAGTGTGAGGGAGTTAGGGTGGAGTGTGAGGGGGTGAGGGTGGAGTGTGCCAAGGAGGTTAGGGTGGAGCGAGCAGAGAGCGCCTCCCCTCGGTAAGCCGGGGTCGTGGGGGGGCGAGGGGTTTGGGGTTTGGGGGGGAATGGAAGGCGGGAGCCCCTCCCGCCTCGTGCCTCCTTTGTCCGCGAACGGGGGGGGGGTCATGGGATTGAGGAGAGGGATGGCGGTGGGGGCGGGGGGGAAGGGGAGGAACGGACACGCGACCCCAACACAATAGCAGACCCGAGTCACTCGATCAGGAGTGCACACACACAATACAAATATCCCCCGTATAGCCTTTACAGGCTTTTAGGGCAAATGCTGTTAGCGATCACCTATAAAGGCCGACAAGGCACACGAGGGAGCGGGTGGCCAGCACCACGCCCGACTATGACTCCCTAGTTGCGATGTTTACACACCGCACCATTGACTAACGTTCGGCTAAGTCCTCGCAGGGAAAACTGAGTACATGGCAGGAGGTCACAGGAGGGATGTCAACATCATGGGTTAACTGAGATGACTGGCAGATGCACAATCTATGCTCTTCATTCTGCAAAATTGCGTTTTAGCCGCCCGGCGCTCTGCTCATTGTTGTGAGCGTCGCCCCTCCGCTCTCCGCTCTTATTGGACGGCGACTGCCTCCAATTGTCCAGTCCAGTAGCGTCCTTCACGAGCCTCCTCCATCGAGACTCAGCTCCATATCCTCCCGTACCCCATCTCTTATCTAGCCCGTGCGACTCTCCCACCCACACACTCTCACGCACACACTCACCCGATCACACAAGTCCAATCAGCTCCACATCCTCCTGTACCGCATCAGCCCATCTAGACCCTCGCCCGTGCCGCACCCGTTCAGCCCTCTCTATCCGGACAAACAAAAGCTGCTTGGGCATGCGGTGGCTGGACATGCGGGCTACATGAACCAGGCAACGCAGCCTCGCCTGTCCGAAGAGCTCACTTATGGGACCGTGTCCAGATATTTTATGGATCTGTGAACTCGTCACACAATCCCGTCTGTCTAAACCCAGGATGGATCGTTTCAAACCGGCGAAGACGTTTCTTTCAAGGGGTTCGACGTTTCGCGAGCAGAGCTATGAGAGGGCAAGAACTGCGCCCGAGAAGGCGCGGAGTTTCTTGGAGCGATAAGGCCAGGCAGCTTCTCCAGGCACGTGACCGTGAGTGTAGTCCGGGGGCATTGGGGGAGTGCGGCTTGGAGCGGAGAGCCTCCCTCCCTCGTGGGTCATTGTGAAGCGAGGAATCGGGCGCGGGATCCACCCTCTCCATCCTCGCAGGAAGACCCCACGACCCCGGGCAGGATGCGCGGCTCGAGCCGACCCCCCCTCTCCACCCCCCCTCCTCGCAATCCCTCTCCCCGTTCTTTCCCCTCTCCACTTTCAGTACCCTCTCTCCTCTGTATTCCGTCTCCACTCTCCCCCCACCCTACCTCTCTCTCTCACAGCGCTCTCCCCCTTCTCTTCCCACTCTTCCCCGCACTCTCTCCCTCCGCTCCGCGTTGACTTTGGCCTCCTTCCTGCAGCGTCAATAAACAATGGCTCGTTTCTGCTTTTTGTTTTATTGTGTGCCTGCTGGTCGGCTTGTACGGTCCTCGCGACCCGTGCGAGCGCGTGCGATTGTGTTGATGTATGAGCTGCTGTGTGTGTTAGTGCCTTTGCGTGTGTGTGTGTTTTCTATCGTGGTGATAGGGAGTGTGGTGGTTAGCACACGAACGCGAGGACTCGAGTTAGATTCCCGCTCACTGGCAACAATAGTGACGAATATCTGAACCAGTCCTGGGCCTCCCCTGTGTCGACTCAGCCTCAAATTAGTAATTGGTGCGATGTGTAAACATTACCACTGGGGAGACAAAGGTGGACGTGGTGCGGTGGTCATCCACCCCGCCGTGGGCTGTGCCCGTCATAATAGGTGCTTGCTAACATTACCTGATCGCAACAGTCGATAAGTATGTGAATGAATCCGTATTTTCAATACAAGGCGAGACCGGGAGTTGAAATGGTACACTTTACGTTAAGCGCTCTGTGGGGGGCTGGGCTGGGGGGAGGGGGGCACAGAACCCCCCCCCACTGAAGACTCAATCCCACCTTTAGAAATGTTGGTGCAATTTCGAACGCCGGTGACTGCTTTTATTAAACTGTTCCTCATATACACGGGGGGCGGGGGGGGGGGTGAGCTCTTCAGCAGCATTGATGCTTGTCAAAAGCAGAATCTACTCATTCTGTTTAGCGTTTGTCTAAAGCCTGTTTAACATTAACTGCGTCAATGACCCCTGAGTGTGTGCCCCCACCCCCCCCCCCCCCCCCCCCTCTGAGTTAACTACATCTGCGAAAAAATATATTTATGGCTCATCGTATTCCTCCAGTAGCGGTATAAATAAAAGATTATTCTCTGATTCTGAATAAACAAGGTCACGACCGCTGCTCCACCCCTGCAGGATTTGTCAGGATTTGTGATTTTGGCTGAAACTTCCACGGGCGCGACTTGGTCGCCCTCTGCTGGAGACGCGGAGGGACCTTCCGATTCAGCACCGCGGAAAGCTCCCGGTACAAACGACCCCAAACCCGAGATTCTCAGGCACCCACCCAGACTCTGTCTGCGACTCGGTGTTGTTATAGGAGGCGCGAGTTTCACGGGTCTCTGAGCGAGCCCGTGGGGGTGAGTCTGTGCGTCTGGACGCCACGAATCTGCGGCTTTCGCTACGAGTCGCTGGGACTAACTGATAATGAGAATTGGAACACAAAGCCGGCGCGTGTTGATAGCGCAGCGCCAGTCCTGGACTCACACGGAGGCCGCTTCTCCAGGACAGCTGCCCACGCGAAGCCAAGAGCGCCGATTCAAATGAAGATCGTCTCGATCTAAATTAAGACTCTATATCTCTAATTGAAATTCGAGCTCGCCAAGGTTACGAGATAACGCGTGACCCGATCGCCCCAATCATCAGGCGCGTGTAGCGTGCGACGACGTAATCTGAGCGCAGAGATCGGTGAGTGCGTACAGCCGTAGCGTGGAGGGCCGCGAGGCACAGAGGTTGAGACCGCTTTCTTCATCATCATTACGAAAGGGCAGACGAGACTCTGGTGTCCCCCGCTTCCACTGCAGGGGGCGATTGCGGTCCTCGTGCTGCCTTGGCAGCCCGTATAGCATGTGGTGGGAATTCTACGTTCCTCTGACGAGGACTAGTTTGCATAAGAGAAACAACAATAAACAGCTGCTGTTAGTTCCTCTGCACAAAATCAAAATAGTGTAGCCTCAAGTTATTGTACTCATTTTAGTGACCCAGGAATTACGATTGATGGTGGTGACAATAATGTTGAATGATGATGAAATTGAATTACTATGATAATGATGATTTGTTGACACTAATTCTACATTCATGATAATTATATAAAATTTGATATTATTACGTGGACGATATCATTACAAATAACCACCGATGATCCGTTCAACATCCAGAACACGTGCAAATACCGTGTGGCTGGCAAAATAGGATGTCACCAAACGTTCACTCTCCCACCGTGGTGATTGTGACCATCCCATCAGGGACTGGTGCAGGGGATTGATCAATTAATGTAATTAAGGAGCCCATTGGTATGGCATAATTAAGCAATTCGGCTTTGCAATGTCAAATCGTTTGCGCGAGTAAACCAGCACTCTCGTCGCCTAATTGCGAATTTAATTTCCTAATTGCTTCGGCTTTTATTTCGCAACATGGACTAGGAGCACTGATATGCGACAATAAATCTCATCATCATCATCATCCTGATAATAATCAGGGTATCAAGTCCCCGCTTGATTAGGCCATTTCATGTAACCAATTTAATAACGAGTGATGTAAGTTTGTTATTCACCGTTTACCGAGATCTATTTAAACGTAAATTCATCACGTGAAAAAATATTTGCGTCACGCGCTTTGTCAATCCACTGCTGGATGAAGGCCTCTTCGCGCCATTCGAGGGGTTGAGCATTCTTCAGCGCGCTGGCCAGTGTGGCTTCGTGAAGGGGGTAGGCTCACGAGTCAAAGGTCACTCCCCACTATGGTCAGATAACAATCCCCGTGACCGGGAATCGAACCCATGTGGCCGAGCTCATAGCAGCAACGCGAGACCCACCGCGCCACTTTCTCCCGCATTTTTAAAACAATTATCGTCGTCCGTTATCGATCTAGGGAAGCATCAGAGTCGCAAGGCCATTGCGCAGGAGGTGCTGCAGCGTTGAGATGTTTGAACACAGCTGATTCCATTGGGAGTGAGACTTTGGCTCCTCAGAGAACTCCCAGCACCACGCATCAAGATGCGAGGCGACATCACCGATTGGGCCACACAGATGAGTAATTGAGTAAGAAACCTATTTGCTGTACCGCCTAATGTACATGAGCTAAACAAAGTGATGGGTGACGATGAATAACACTGATGTTGATGATAACGACGCGTGAGATCATGTTACAAGAGACCGTAAACTTTATTTAGTATTTAACCATCGCAGTAGCATTCCTCAAAAAGATAAAACTGTGCAAGAAAATACAATTGACCTCGTTTTGACCCCGCGCGGCAACACGGAGGGGACACGCCACCCTCCACGCATCTCATTAAGAGATCACAAATTAAGAGTTCGTTAAGATATCCTTAATTAAGAGATCGTTAACATTATCGTTCCTTAAAATATCTTCAAGTCCTGCGCAGAGTAACTCAAACTCGAGTGGCTGCGACTTCCCCCCCCCCCCCCCCCCCACCGCGGCGCGCCCTTCCACACCACGACTCAACGACATCATTCATTCGCCAGCTAAGTCGCACTACGCATCCTGCACGCGCCTGATGTGCTTGGTAAAACACGAATCGCTGCACCGTAGGGTGGGGAGATGGCGAGGACTGAAGTGCGATAATCACTGCATCGACTGCGAGATCCGGATTAATTTAAAGCCGAAGTGGTCACCTTCAGTAGAAGGGAGGGCTCATCTCCAGCCCCGTGGCCTGGAACAGTCTCTGCCAACTGGAGTCGGGTCAGCCGTGACATCGCAATCGGTTATTTTAAGAACGTATTAAAAAATGTTTATCCTGTTTAAATTTAATTTGGATTGATTGCTGAATACAGCGCGTTACAAATCTTAGACTGTTTGATCTTCAATAGCCAAACCTCAATCACCACCATCATCATCACCACCATCATCATCACCTGGGCCGAATTTCTGCTTCCTTGTAGTTGATGGCGGTGGTGGTGATGGGCAGACCTGGTCAATTCCAATCGTGTAATTTCATCGCGATTTTCAACCCTGAATATAAAATGCTGCTGCTGCTGTAATTGATATTTACAATTTATTTGATTCCTCGTCTGATGGTGAGACATGGGGTGCGATTTGATCAAAACTCGGACGAAAGGTGAGAGAGAGACTCTTGCAAACACCACGCGAATCTCTGTTCCCAACACGCACACGAGCCGCTCATTTTCCACGTGGCGAAGTCGACCCAGCGGTGGTGGAAATTACACATTCGCATGACAGGGGCCAGTCTAACCAAAGTTAAACCACTGGCGGTCATGACGTTCCACAAAGTGGTATTCGTTTTAAAAATAACAATACCCCCCCCCCCCCCACGGCGCTAGACTATACAAAGTTCACGTGAACGCATCTGTAAACAAGTGTCATTGTTTAAAAACAAGTGAGCACGACGGAAGCACGGTCTCACTTTGTTTAAAACCTCGTGCCCGTGTCCCCGCGGAGTCCTCACGGCTGGGTTACCAGCAGCAACTCCGCTCTCTCCAACGTGGGGGAGGGCAAATAAAACAAATATCTACAGCCACGTGAGGTTGGCGGATCACCGAGTGACGGGGGGGGGGGGGGGGTGGTCCTTGTGCTACTGTTCATCGTATTCGTATGAAGGTAAAGGGGCAGCCGGCCCTGCACTTGACGCATCGCTCGCGCCACTGCCGGTGCATGCCCCCCCCACTCGAGCAACCAACCCCGGAGCGTGTTGTGGCCCTGCTCCTCCACGCTTGCGAGACCGCCTTGGATAGCGGTGCGAGTACCCACACTGCACACCACCGCACTGCCGCGCCAGGGAGACGGAGCGGGTGACCTGTGGATCGCGAGTCCAGTGGGCTCGCCATTGCGCCACGGCGGCAGAATGCTTCGGTCGCGTGCACAACAAACCGGGGCGAATGATCAACGGCACCACGAGGCGTCTCTCTCTATCCACAGGCTCCAGCAAACCGCAGCGTGCAAAACAAAACAAAACTATTGTAATCCCTAACGCAGGGTGAGCCAGGGATTAGGGCTCTGCGCAGGGAGCAGACACCGGTCCCGCTGCAGGGCGAACGTCGGTGCAGCTGCAGCGGACGGGACCCGCGGGTGGCAGTCGAACCAGCCCCAGTGACCTCACGGGAATTCCCGTTTAACTCGTTGACTCATTGCTCATTAAAGTGCTCAAACCGAGAGACGTGCCGCAGGGATTTGACGCTTGGCAAATGATTTCACGTTCACGATTCGATTAATGAATCGATTATTGTTTTGCCCGTGCAGCACCGCGTATGGAATCCATAGCGGCACGCAAATGGTTTCCGTGAAACTCAGTATGAATCGATTATAACCGATTCATACGCTACCGTCAGCATATGAATCTACTTTCGGTTATAAAGTGATTAATCGTTACATCCCTACCAGCTGACGACCCGGGATGGAGGAGGGGGATAGGGGTTGGGTGGTGGGGCGTGGGGGAGGGGTGGGGAACCTCTAAGATCGATTTGATCGATTTTGGCTAAACTCGCAGCTCCGTGCGCTTTCAGTGCGGACCGTGCAGAGTGACGCGGTGCATTCCACAATACCCACAATGCAACACACACAATAGGCTGGGCTGCGTCGAGTCGGCGGCGCGTGGCTCGTGGTAGCCATAAGCGGAACGAGAGGTACACTCCTGGATGTGGTGTGCCGGGGCACTGGAATATCAATCCGGGTAACTGACCCGGACAGACACACACAGAGCGGTCACCATGCCACTTAGAGAGTCCAGTACATACCAACTAGAACCCACGTGCTGAATCAAGTGCCGCTTGCATCGCGATCTAAAACGGAACACAATGACAACAACAATAATACCAACAACAACAACAAGAATAATTAAATGTTAGACGGTGCCGCCCTCTTGCCCAGAACGAGCGGAGAGAGGACGGTGCACATCGCAATTGGCGGACCCAAGCCGGTTGGGTGTGTGGACATTCCACATTCTTATTTTAGGAACCGATACATTCAAAGAGCATAAACCGTTGTTCACTTATGAAGAAGTGACTCTATGCTCATTTTACTGACCCCCGCGGGGTCAATGATGATGATGGGCTGGGTGGAACCCCGCCAGGTCTCGAACCCGCATCATTCTGATCGCGAGTCGAGCTGCTCCGCGTCCAGATTGGCACGTGGCCAGATGATGATTCAGGATGATCAAACTGATGATGCTGCTGACACTAATGATGATGATGTTGTTGCTGCTGCTGCTGCTGCCGAGTCCCCGTGGGTTGGTGAATCACAGCCAGGCTTGCTCTCCATCCCACGTGAGCGGAGGTGAGCAGAAGCGAGCGGAGGTGAGAGCGGCTAGAAATCACAGCACTTGGACTTCTCCTTGTTTCCCTGCTGCGTCAAGTCCGTCACACTCTGGTCCGGATCTTTGCCCGCAAACCGACGCACGTCCCTGAGACACGGGGACACGGTGGGAAGGGCGGCGGGGGGGGGGCACGGGAAGACACATTTAGGTTTGTACTCTTCGCGAGTGTGTCCTCGTGGGTGTATGTGCGTGCGTAAGTGTATTTGGGGAGCTCACCTGGCCAGGTGGAGCACGGCCTCCACCACGTTATCGCCGTCCTTGGCACTCGTCTCGCAAAACAACGATCTGTACGACTGCAAAGGCAAAGATCCCCCATATAGCGCACACGGGCTGTTGTGGAAAATGCTGTTAAGCACCACCTATGAAGGCCGGCACGGCACACAAGTGGGTGGGTGGCCATCACCACGTGCAGCCGCCTTCATCTCGACAGTGCTGACAGTTACACACCACACGAGTACTCTCATTTAACTAGGGGTTGTTCGGGGGCACCTGTGGCGCCCCTTACAACCATTTACGGCCTTCGGCCAAGAATGTCGCGAAATAAATTGCACACGAACGACACATTCACGCAAGCACCCGATGCTCCGTTTTGAAGTTTTAAAATTAAACATTTTTTTATTGTATTATGTTTTGAATTAGATAATTTATTTCTTCATTAAAAGCTTATATCATTTTACATCTGGAATACTTAATTGAAAACGACGTTTCGTGGTGAATTTCCTCTCGTCGTTAAGTAGATGGCCTTGCTGGGAGTTTGGTTCGATGCGGACTTTCACCCGCCCCTCTATAGCCCCGCCAAGCGCTGGTTGGCTGTTTGGTCCCGGTCACTTGATGCACTTCAACCAATCCGTGCCGCGTTAGTCACAGAATGACAGAATCACAGACCTGGGTGTTTATATATTATATATTATGCTGAGTCGACCTAAATGGAGGCCCTGGACGGGTTAAACAATATGCCACTGTGATTGGTCGTGAGTGTGAAGCGAGCACAAGTTTGTAGCGCAGCGCGCCAACCGTTGCACTGCCGCTCCCCACACACAAACAAAGACATGGACAATGATCCCCCGGCACAGCACACGAGGGGGTGGGTGGTCAGCACCACGCAGCACCACGCAGCACCACGCCCGGCCGCCTTTGTCTCCCTAGATAACGATGTTTACACACCGCACCAGGTACTCATTTGCGGCTGAGTTGACCGGTTCAGATATTCGTCACTGGTGTTGGCAGTGAGCGGGAGTCGAACTCTGGTCGCCGGGTTCGTAGCGCAGTGCATCAACGGCTACGCTACTGCTCCCCACAGGCTACACATACACACGTACACACGTACACACGCACGTGACGGGGTCGTGGGGTCAAGCACGTGCGTACGACGGTCCCGAATTCACCACGGCCAGCCGCTCCCCGCTCCCTCCTCCGCCCGATCCCCCCACCCCCTCGGGACTCACCATGGCGAGCATCTCCCCCTGGCTCGTGGAGACGTAGGAGCGGTTAGGGGCCCCGTCGTGCGGCCTCAGGTCCGTCTTGTTGCCCACGATCATGATGGGCACGCTCCTCTCCACGGCGTCCTGCGTGGGCACGGCGGAGACAGACATCGTCATCATCGTCATCATAATCATCGTCGTCGTCATCATCATAGTCATTATTGCCGTCGCTATCGTTCCCATCGCTACGGCCAAGCCGTGACCCCCGTGTTGCCTTCCGTCCACCCCATCAGGCATTCTTACCTGTCCCTGCACCCGTGTCCCTGCACCCGTGTCCCTGCACCCGTGTCCCTGCACCCGTGTCCCTGCACCCGTGTCCCTGCACCCGTGTCCCTGCACCCGTGTCCCTGCACCCGTGTCCCTCCACCCGTGTCCCTTCACCCGTATCCCTGCACCCGCTCTACCTGCACCCGCTGTACCTGCACATTGTCCACCCACTCGCGCACGTTCTTGAAGCTCTCGTGGCAGGTGACGTCGTAGAGCAGCAGCACGCCGTGCGCACGCCGGAAGTACGACTTGGCGATACTGCGGAACCTGGCGCCCGCAGCAAACACAAAGATCCCCCATGTAGCCCACAGCCCGGGAGGGAAGAGGTGGGGTCACGGGGAGAGGGGGGGTCACGGGGAGAGGTGGGGTCACGGGGAGAGGTGGGGTCACTGGGAGAGGGGGGTCACGGGGAGGGGGGGTCACGGGGAGAGCGGGGTCACGGGGAGGGGGGGTCACGGGGAGGGGGGTCACGGAGAGAGGAGGGTCACAGAGAGGGGGATCACGGAGAGAGGGGGATCACGGAGAGAGGGGGTCACGGAGAGAGGGGGGTCACGAGGAGGGGGGGTCACGGGGAGGGGGGGTCACGGGGAGGGGGGGTCACAGAGAGAGCGGGGTCACGGAGAGAGGGGGGTCACAAGGAGGGGGGTCACGGGGAGGGGGGGTCACGGGGAGAGGGGGGGTCACGGGGAGAGAGGGGGTCACGGGGAGAGGGGGGATCACAGAGAAGGGGGTCACGGGGAGAGGGGGTCACGGGGAGAGGGGGGGTCACGGAGAGAGCGGGGTCACGGGGAGGGGGGGTCACGGGGAGGGGGGGTCACAGAGAAGGGTGTCACGTGGGGTCGTACCGCTCCTGGCCGGCCGTGTCCCACAGCTGCAGCGTTGTCTCCTCCCCGTCCACGACCAGAGACTTCATCTGGAAGTCGACTCCTGTGACACGGCACACCTGCGTGAGACACTGGCCCGGCACGCGCGGCACACACGGCACCTACCCTCCCCAGGTGACAGCAGCACGACAGGAGCTACCTGCTCCCCAGGTGTCACCTCGCCCACCGCCAAAGATGTCACCTTACCACTCTCAAGGTGTCACACGCACCCCCCACGCCCCTCCACCACCCCCCACGCCACCCACCACCACCAGGGTGTCACAAACGCCTCTCCGCAGGTGCTGTGAATGAGGGTAATTGCCCAAAACGTCGCCTATGATTTATTTTCCCTTTCAAGACCCCAGTGTTGTTATTGCTGAAAGCGTTGAGTTGGTGTTGTTGTCTGCCACCACAGCAGCAGCACGGGAGCTCCTCTTCATCTACGATCACCGTCCTGTGGGCACCTTGAGGGATCTCCCCCCCCTCCCCTAACCCCCCCCCCCCTCCCGCCACCACTCCCCACCCATCGCCGCACCGAGCGTGGAGCAGGTGTTGCCGTCAAACTCGTTCTTGCAGAGCCGCATGAGGAAGCTCGACTTCCCCACGGAGGCGTCTCCGGCCAGCACAATCTTGTAGACGCGGCCCACGCGGCCCGATCCACCGCTACCGCTCAGCGCGTCCTTGTCCTGCGCGCACGACACAGACGCGCACGCACGCGTCTGTGTGAACGTGCGTCTCCCTCTGCGCTTCTCTGTCAGCAGCAGCAGCAGCAGCACCGCTAGATGTACGCACGGACGTACGTTCAACGTTCTTTCACGCCGTACGTAGCCGGATAACGCGTTCCCCACGGAGAAGTCGGTGTAGCCCCCCCGTGCCGGGCCTCGTGCCGGGCCTCGTGCCGGGCCTCGTGCCGGGCCTCTTGCCGGGCCTCTTGCCGGGCCTCGTGCCGTACCTTGCCGAAGGCGCGGATGGTGCGGCGCGAGGAGGCGTTGGAGGGGGTGCGGCTGAGCGGGCGTGCGTCGCGCACGCCTCGCAGCATGCGCTCAGACTCCTCGTCCTCCATGTCCGGCACCTGGGGCGCCGTCGGGGGCGGGGGAGCGGTGATCGGGGGGGGGGGGGGGGGTCGCATCGGTGTGGAGTCACGGGACGTCCGCTCGGTGCATCCCCTGCTGCACTACGGATCCAGCAGACCGGCGTCGTGGACTATGGCCAATCAACCCCAATGACCGACACGGAATTAATCCATCACCTATCAAAACTACTGTAACCGTAGCCGCAAAACCACATCCAGGATCGACCCCTGACCTCGGGACTCTCCGGGAGTCCAGCGCTCTGCCCATCAGTTCCCCTGGCCCCCCAGGCACCCCACCCCCCCCCCCCCCACCACTACTGCAGTGCCCCCCCCCCCCCCCCGCGTCTACTCACATCCACGGCCGACGCTTCGGAGCTCACGGACCCGCGGAAGCCGTTGCGGTGCAGGGCGGCCGCCTGGCCCCTCGGCCTGCGGGCCGCCCCCCATGGGGCCTCGCCTGACTCCCGCATGGTGGAGAGGCCGCTGTCAACGCAGCTGGGGCCGCCCTCCTCCTCCAACGCCGAGTCGGAGAGAGACGACGCCGAGAAGCTGCCGGGAGGGGCGGGGACGGCGTGGGGTTAGACCGGTGGCGTAAGTTGTCATGGGCCCTGACGCAATGCATCGCATGGGCCTCCCCCCTCCACCCCCCCTCACTCCCCCTTCACAGTCCGGCACCCGGTGCAGTGGCACCGCCTGCACACTCAATAGCTGTGCCACCGGGTGCGGTGATGGGAGACACCGAGTAGATGGTGTTGATGCGAAGGTTAGGGATAGGGCTAGGGTTTGTGTGAAAGTCAGGGCTAGGGTTAGAGTCGAGACTTGGGTTGGGGTCGAGGTTAGTGTTGGGTTAATCTCAGTGATAACGTCAGTGTAAGGGCTAAGGTCAGAGATATAAATATGGTCACAGTCTACGTTCATGTTGGCCTGTCTCTATGTGCTGTGAATGTCACCCGCTATTAACGTGTTCTCTTTAAAGCCACACTGTGCCCGGGTGCATTGGGCTCGAGCTTTACTCGGGGCTCCTCTCAGCGCGAGGGCCAGCCGGCCGGGCGACCGGTGGACTGGCCGGGCGTGCTGAGCTCATCATCGTCGCTCACTCACTCGTCCTCGTCGCCGCTGTAGTGAGAAGAGGAGTGCTGCTGGGGGTGCCTACTCGGCACCGGGAGTCGAACCGGGGTCCCTGTGACTTTCCGAGTCACCCGCGGCGAACTGTGGCGCGCGCCAGGCACCGGCGATGGGCTCTGAGATCTCTGGTGACAACATCGTCATCATCGTCAACATCGTCATCATCGTCAACATCATTGTGCTCACTGACATTGATATCATCATCATCATCATCACGTATAGAATCATCATCATCAACCTCATCATTATTGTCGACATCATCATTAACATCATCATCATCATCATAATACTCCATCATTATCATCATGCTTAAATTGCAGACATAATAACGAATTTGTATTTAATTTGTTTCACCATTCGAATTCGCGACGTGCGCGTTATTCCAGAAGGCCCCCTGCTGCCACGTTTGCCCACAAACCGAGCCGGATGCTCGCGGAGTCGAGAGACAAAACGCGGACCGGACCAGGGCCGGACCACGGCCCCACATGGGGAGGGAGCCCTGGCGGCACCGAGCGATCCACCGCGACCCACCGTGACCCACCACGACCCACCGTGACCCACCACGACCCACCGTGACCCACCGCGACCCACCGCGACCCACCGCGACCCACCGCGACCCACCGTGACCCACCGCGACCCACCGCGACCCACCGCGACCCACCGCGACCCACCGTGACCCACCGCGATCCACCGTGACCCATCGTGATCCACCGCGACCCACCGTGACCCACCGTGATCCACCGCAATCCACCGTGACCCACCGCGACCCACCGCGATCCACCGCGACCCACCATGACCCACTGCACAGCCGACGCGAGCCGCCTCCACCGGAGCTCCATGTGGCCCAGGCCCACGCGTTGACGTTCACCCAGCCGCGTGCAATACGACGTATTTAGTTAACCGGCACGTTCGCAGTCCCGCTTGAGTCATTGGCGAGTAATATTGTTCTAACTGGGCACGTTTGAGTAATGATCAAATCCGTGAATGACGGGACAATCGCGTCGTCGTGACAGAAAAACGGGACGGGCCACAAAATAACTTCCGAGACACAAACACGCGCCAAAGAGAACCTCCGCTCTCCGTGTGTCACGTAAGAGAACCGCCAGCATTTCCTGAAGAAGTGCATTGTGGTCCCCTTGTCTAAGACTTGCGTGACAGCGACTGACTGCAGCGAGCCTGTCCACGCTCGTCTCTCGCCGCATCACCGACCGCTACGTACGCTTGCGACTTGTTCGACAGCAAGTGCTGTGAGTAAAACAGTTGCGCGACTGACATGCGTGTTAAGTGACACGCGTGTTAACTCATTAGTCGGTGGACAGATGGCGTCGATGTCACCGGCACGTCACTCACGGGACTTCCGTTGGCGCGAGCTTGGCTCATCGAGTTCTCCAGCACCGCCCGGAGACCGTCGTTGCTGTCGTTCATCTTGCGGTGCGCCGACCTGTGCGCAAAGCCACAGATAAAGGTCACCCGAGTAGCCTGCGCAGGATGTTGGGGCAAGTGCTGTTCGCGAGCACCTATTAAAGTCTGGCAAGGTGGAAGAGGGTGGCGGGGAAGAGGGGGTTGGTGGTCCAATGCCAATGTTTACACATTGCACCAGGTGCTTATTTAAGGCCGAGTCGACCTAGGGGAAGGCCAAGGAATGGTTCAGATATCACTCAATGTTGTGTAATATTCCCTCGTTCTCTGCAAAACTCAAGTTTTTGTCTTTGTTGTCATTGTCGTTGGTGCTGCTGCTGTTGTGCCAATGCTGAGCCACGGGCCTCCCGTGTACAATAGTCAGGCAACCGGCTGCACGGGACCATCGTCATCATCATCATCATCCGTGTGACAAATCAAATAAACTCGAACTCTCGCCACTCATGTTGGGCCGTGGTGAGGAATCAAACCCAGGTTGCTGAGATCAAAGGGCTGTACGCGAATCATTGCGCCACCTTTCCCACGCCCTGAGCACACACACACACACGTTTGAACGTGTGAACAATATGGTGTCGCAACGTACTCAAGGCTGTTGACACTCGAAGGAACTCCGTCCGTCTGTCCATCTGCGAGTGCGTCTGTCAGTCACTGGAGTCACGTGGGTAATGTGTTTATCTTATAGTGTCAGGGCCAAATTCGGATGGAAAGGAAGCAGAGGTCTACGGTATCGATCATGAGCTATGTACGACCTATTATTACCTTTCGCCTAGGTAGAACTGTGTGTGTTGCATCAGGGTGGGTGTATATGTGTCGCGTCATACCTGAGCATATCGATTTGCCGTGTGAACTCCTGCCTCTCCTCCTCGTGCTGCCGGATCAGAGCCTGCTCCCTACAGGCACGCGGGGACATGGAGACACGGGGGCATGGAGACACGGGGGCATGGACATACGGGGGCATGGACACACGGGGACATGGACACACGGGGACATGGACACACGGGGACATTCATGAACCATCCATGGTAGGAGAGATGTTTTTATTTACTCGTACAGTAATAGTTACACTAAACTGATTACCGGTAATCAGCTGCACAGTTAATGATGACGGTGGACGTAGATTGTCTGTACCACTGTTGTCATTGTTTAAGTTACTCTGAACACAACCTCAACTCCACTCGACACTACAACAAAGATGCCCCGTGTAACCTTCACATGGGGCAAGTGCAGTTAGCGAGCACTTATGAAGGCCGACATGGCACACGAGGGGGTGGATGGCCAAAACGACGCCCAGCCGCCTTTGTCTCCCTAGTGGGGATATTTACACATCGCACCAGTTACTCATTTGAGGCTGAGTCGGTCTCGGGGAGGCCCGGGACCGGTTCAAATCATTGTCACTGGTGTTGGCCGTGAGCAGAAATCGAACTTGGGTCACCAGGGTTCGTAGCGAAGCATAGCGCTAACCGCTACACTACCGCTCCCCACTACACTACGGACACATGTACACGCGCGCACTCACACACAGACACTCGCACACAATATCAAAGATCTCCCAGGTAGCATGCATACGCTGTTTCGGCAAGTGCTTTCAGCGAGCACCTAGGCAAGTCGGCACTGTACGAGGGGGTGGTGGGGGGGATGGCTAGCACCATACACGTACGGCCATTTACAGGCACACACGCACACACATGCAAGCACACACACATGCAAGCACACACACATGCAAGCACACACACATGCAAGCGCACATGCACACAGCCATGTGTTGTGACGCGTCAGCGTGTAGGGTTGCCGAGCTGCTCACGTGGAGCCCGGCCCCCGCTCTCCCCCACCCCTCCCCATCACAATGAGGCCTCTGTCGGTGTCGGCTCAATGTCGCACAGGTTAAATAAATAAATAAAACGCGCCCATTCGTGACGGCGGCCGCTGGCAGAGGAGGCGGCGGCGGCAGCAGCGGGCGCCCGAGGCGCTCTAAGAGAGTATGGCGCGAGGGGCACACCGGGTCGACGCCACCGTGCATCGCACCGCTGCCCGTGGACCAAACACCGCCCCCCCCCCCCCTTACAGAGCGGCGCATTGCTCAGTGTCCGTCATGTCTTAGTGTTGTAGCCTCGTGTCTCAGTGTCCCCCCGTGTGTCCCCTGTCCCTCCCCCCCCCGTGTGTCCCCACGTGTGTCGGTCAAGAGGGACACTTTAGGGGGAATTAAAATCACAGCAGGCAGCAATCCCCTGAGTATTCAGAATATCCACTCAAAAGGATTGTCAGACAGTTGTCCAACAATCCACTCGCTCACACACACGAACGCACTCGCACACAGAAAGACACGCAGCAGTTTGGTGTTTTCAGACAATGCGCTTAGATATTTCTAGACGATCCGAATGCTCGGGGGTATGACGCAACACCCAGTCCCCATCTGAACTTTTGCGAGAGTTTGAGTGACTTTCAAGCCGTCCCCTTGAACGGCGCGAACCGTTCCAGGCCATTTTCCTGACACTCGCGAACGATATAATGCTTAACGTGCATACACTGCAGTTGATACTTGAGTTCAGTGATGACTCTTCCTCTGTGAGGAATTGGGAGATTAAGGGGGTCCTGTTTTTCATGAGTAAGTACAGCCACTGACAGCAAAGCCTCTTTCTTTACATTTTATTTGAATAACAAACATGACCTGAGAAATGCTCTTCTCTTGTTGCGCACAATGGCAGCAGAAATACGTCCAGAGCTCATTGTCGCAGTCTGCTGCTTGCCACGACAAGAGGGCTTCGGCGGAGAGAGAGAGACAGCGTGTCGTTTTTCTTGTTCCGCCTCCATTATCGAATGCTTTGAGAACGATGCACGCTGAACTTGAACTTCTTTCCCACCATACGTAGCCAACCACGCTAATCGGAGGTGCGGGGGAAGGACAACGAGCTAAACACAAAAAGTAGTTCTAAAGAAAATTGGTTTCCAATCTAGACGATGATTTAAAAGAGCATAGCTCCAGTGGCTTCCTAATGTTGGAGGGAAGAGCGTTCCAGACGGCCGCGGAAGCGCATCTGAAAGTGCTCGATGCAGTTACCGTCTTTGTTAGATGGTCAGCCAAAAGGTTAGCCATGGATGGTCATCTGTGGATGGTTTGGTGGTTAGCCAAAGGCCATCACAAGGGACATTCGTGTTGAGATGCTGTCGCGTTCGGATGCCACGTTGACTCTTCCCAGACATCGCGTCATGGCAATCAGCAATGGCAGGCCACTCCGTTTGACCTCCTGACCCCGGACGGTCGGCTTGGGGGACCTCACCTCTCCAGGTTGAGCCGCTGGGAGGTGGACTCGGTCTTCACGGTGTCCAGCTCGCTCTGCAGCACCGTCAGGTTCGTCTGCGCCTCCAAGAGGTTCCTCTTCATCTGCTGGTTCTCCTACAGGTGGCAGAGGAGGACGAGGAGGATTGGAGTCATTGTAGAGCAATGGTCAGGAAGTTAACAAAGGAATTCATCATCCCTGCAGAGTGGGTAACGCGAGTGCTGTTTTGTCAAGGGCCATGGGGAGGGTGATTACGAGACTCAGGGTTAGGGGAGGATTAACGTTGAGCTCAAGGAATAGGATTAGGCTAAGGTTTATGAAAAGGGTAAAGGTTCAGGTCAAGGTAAGAGTCAGCGATAAGGCCAACACGAGGGTTGGGCCAGAGTAGGGGTCATGGTTGGAGCTGCGGCGAGTGTCAGGGTTGTGGCGAGTGTCGAGGTTAGAGTTGTGGTGATTGGGTCAGAGTGCGCCCACCATCGTCATCTCGTTGATCTTCATCTTCAGCTCGATTATCTCATCGTGTTTGTTCACCGCCTTCTTATCCGACTGTATCTGAACGAGACCGACACAAACACGCGTGAGTGTGTGCGTATACACGTACAAACACACGCATGCTCACAGACACGCCAAGACAAATGTGCACACGCGCACACACACACACAGATGCACACGGACGCACAACACACGCACTGTTGCACAGACACCCACGCACTCACAAACGCACATACACACAGATGCAGTTAGCGAGCACAAATGAAGGCCAGCACTGCACACGAGGGGGTGGGTGGCCAACACCACGCCTGGCCGCCTTTGTCTCCCGAGTGGCGATATTTACACATCGCACCAGGTACTCATTGGTGTCGACCTAGGGGAGGCCCAGGACCGGTTCACATAATCGTCACTGGTGTTGGCCGTGAGTGGGAATCGAACCTGGGTCACCAGGTTCGTAGCTCAGCGTGCTAACCACTACACTACCGCTCCCCACTGGGCACACAAAGATAAAGATCCCCCATATAGCCTTAACAGACTGTAGGAGCAAGTGCTGTTAGCGAGCACCTATGAAGGCCGGAACGGTACACAAGGGGGTGGGTGGCCAGTACCACGCCCGACAGCCTTTGTCTCCCTAGTGGCAATGTTTACACATCGCACCAGGTACTCATTTGAGGCTGAGTAGACCTAGGGGAGGCCCGGGACCCACACACACACGTACGTACACACACACAAAGACAAAAGATCCCCCGTATAGCTTTAACAGACTGTAGGGGCAAGTGCTGTTAGCGAGCACCTTCACACACACACAACAAAGATCCCCCATATAGCCTTAACAGACTGTAGGGGCAAGTGCTGTTAGCGAGCACCTATGAAGGCCGGAACGGTACACGAGGGGGTGGGTGGCCAGCACCACGCCCGATCGCCTTTGTCTCCCTAGTGGCAATGTTTACACACCGCACCAGGTACTCATTTGAGGCTGAGTCGACCTAGGGGAGGCCCGGGACCGGTTCAGATAATCGTCACTGGTGTTGGCCGTGAGCAGGAATCGAACCTGGGTCGGCAGGTTCATAGCGCAGCGCGCTAACCGCTACACTATCGCTCCCACACACACACACACTCCCACACACACACTCCCACACACGTACACACACACACTCCCACACACACACCCACACATACTCCCACACTCACACACTCCCACACACACCACCCACACACACTCCCACACACACACACTCCAACACACACACTGCACACACACCAACTCCCACACACGTACACACCACCCACACACACACCCACACACACACCCACACACACACACGTACACACACACTCCCACACACACACGTACGTACACACACACACACTCCCACACACACACACACACCCACACACTCCCACACACACACGTACACACACACACACTCCCACACACACACACCTACACACACACTCCCACACATACACACCCACACATACACACCCACACACTCCCACACACACACACCCACACACACACCAACTCCCACACACACCAACTCCCACACACACCAACTCCCACACACACCAACTCCCACACACACACCAACTCCCACACACACACCCACACACACCAACTCCCACACACACCAACTCCCACACACACACACTCCCACACACACACGAACTCCCACACACACCAACCACACACACCCACACACACACTCCCACACACACACGTACACACACACACGTACACACACACGTACACCCACACACACTCCCACACACACCAACTCCCACACACACACACACTCCCACACACTCCCACACATACACTCCCACACACACACTCCCACACACACCCACACACACCAACTCCCACACACACATGTACACCCACACACACCAACTCCCACACACACCACCCACACACACTCCCACACACACTCCCACACACTCCCACACACACACTCCCACACACACACTCCCACACACACCAACTCCCACACACACATACATACACACACTCCCACACACGCACCTCGTTGACCCTCTCGAGTGCCGCCTGCAGCTCCGTCACCTCGTCGTCGTGCCTCCTCCGCATCTCGGCGATCAGCGCCTCCGCCCTCGCCTTCTCCTGCACAGGGTGCACAGAGGCGCCGTTATGGGGGCCACTACCTGAAGAGAGCCTGAACACTACCTGAACACTACCTGAACACTACTTGAACTATACTTGAACACTACCTGAACACTACCTGAACACTACCTGAACACTACCTGAACACTACCTGAACTATACTTGAACACTACCTGAACACTACCGTGACACTACCGTGACTCTACCTGAACTATACTTGAACACTACTGTGACACTACCGTGACACTACCGTGACACTACCTGAACACTACCTGAACTATACTTGAACACTACCGTGACACTACCGTGACACTACCTGAACACTACCTGAACACTACATGAACATCACCTGAACATCACCTGAAAATCACCTGAACAATAGCGGAACATGAGCGGCTCCTCACCTGCACATTACACGAACAGGACCTGAAACTCACCTGAACGTACCACGAACCACTCCTGAACTTTACCTGAATCATACTCGAACGATACCTGAACCTCACCTGAATGTTCCAAGAAGCGCACCTGAACGATGCTTAAAACCACACTGGCATGCCACCGAAGTTGCGCACAACCACGCCCCAAGCAAAGCACGAACGATGCGTGAATTGCATCAGAACCGCACCTCAATGACACCTCAACCACACATGAATAGTGCCCGATCCGCATGCGAGCTCACGTGCATTGCCATCTGTGTGTGTGCGTGGAAAGGTGGCATAGTGGCTAGCGCACTACCCTATGAAGCCGCCGACCCGAGTTCGATTCTCGGCTACCGCTGACGTCAGTGGCGAGTGGGATTTAAACCAGGCCCTGGCATCCCTTAGATCAGCTCAACTTTAAAATGAGTGCCGGGTGTGGTGAGAAAAACACGAGCCCTGGGAAGACAAAGGTGGCCGATTGTGGTCCTGGCCACACCACCACTTGTGTGCTCTCGACCAGCACTTGGCCCAACTATCTGTCGAGAGACTACCCAGGGGATCTTTGTCTTTGCAGTGCAAATGTGCGTGTCCGTGCGCGTGGCCTCAAAGTGCACCTGGCCCTGGCGCGAGAGCTGCATAGGCGACTTCGCCGAGTCGCCTACGCAGGCCGCACCGGGGTCGTCGTCTGCGTCTTTGCAGCGAAAGTAACGGAGCGGATGAGTGGGAGTGCGGTTGAGCGCCTCACCTCGTTGCGCACACGCGTCTCCGTGGTGGCCACGCGCTCCTCCATCTCCGCCTCCATCTCGTTCTGGTGGAATGCGCTCTGCTCCTGTATCCTGCGCGCGGGAATCGAACCGGTCACTCCGAGCTAGGAGGCCTGAAGTCCGCCCACCTGCCTGCCCTGCCTGTCATCCAGGTCCTCCGGAAAAACGCCGACCGCTTGCCCCCCCCCCCCCCCCCCCCGCGATGACCAGCGAGGATGTGGTCAGGATCCGAGAAGTCACTGCTGCTTCCTATGCCAAATGCTGCAGGTGCTTATCGGTCGACGAGACCCGACCTTCTCAGGGAGGGGGATTGTGGGTGGGAGCAGGGAGGAGAGGAGAGACAGAGGGAGCAGAGAGGACACGGGGGGGGAGGAGAGGGAAGACATGAAGAGGAGGGCAGGAGGAGAAGGGGAGAAGAGGGCAGCAGGAAGGAGAGGGGAGCAGGGAGGATGTGGAGGGAGCGACTCACCGCTTGAGCTGGTAGTTCACATCCTCGTTGTCGGTGACGCGTCGCTTAATGTCGCTGAGGAAGTTGGAGAGGACGCCCTCGTACAGCAGCTGCAGGTTCTCATCCCCCACCTGGGAGAGCTGCGAGTGCAGCTCCGAGGCGTGGACCCACGAGCTGTGGCGAGGATCAAGGTCAAGAGGTCATCGTGGCCACGGCCGCCGATGACACCACCGCTACCACACACAACCACACACACCACCACCCCGTCATAGAAATGTGTAATTTCCACGTGCTTCTTTGAGAAGGCTCACAACCGTGAATTTGAATGTGAATGGTTGACCTCACGCGGATGTACATTTCATCGGTCACAGATGCGTCCCACGAGGAAGCAGAGCAGGCTGGTTGGCACAGGGCATGACCAACGTGTTAAGCGTGAAGTGGCTCAGTGAAAATCATCACCCGTATTCCCCACGCTGCCGATACAGACGCACAACACGTACACGCGCGCACACAAGGACATATACAGACACGTCTAACTCACATACACACACACACGTAAATCCACAGACACACACACAGAGTGCTCCCATACACGAGGCAATAGATCAACAGGCACAGACGTCTGTATATTATTGAGTCGTAAATTGTAAGGATTTACGACGCAGTAAGAATTCCTCACGGCGCTCTTGGGTGGATAGATGGGTCTGCAGTGACGTCACTACGAGTCACAATGGGCCATTGTCAGTGAGGGGTTCAGAGTGATTAGGGGACAGGATCAGAGTCGTGGCTCCGTGATAGTGTTAGAGTTAGCCTGAAGGAACATGTTTAGAGCTAGGGTTAGGCTTTGGGCCAGGTCTACACTGAAAATGATGGTTAGGTTTAAAGTTAAACTTGGGTCTAGGGTTAGGCTCCGTGCTAGGGTTAAAGTTGTGCTTAGGAGTCGTTTAGTGAGGCTCAGGCACAATTGTTGTGTGTTTGCCATTCCTGTCCTTTGCACTCATGTCGTGCTTTTGTTTATTGTTTGTTATTGTAACGTTCTGACCTATCCCGACCAGACATCTGTGAAAAAGAGCTGTAAAGCTCATCGGATTCCTCCAGTCTACATGCATATTATGATTCTGTTAGGGTTAGCTTTAGGGCTAAGGTTAGTCATGCGGCTAGGGTTAGGCTTAGGGCTAGGCTTAGGGCTAGTGTCAAAAGTTGTGGCAGGGCTAGAGTTAGGCTTCCGTCAGGGTTAAATTCAGGGGCGGAGCCAGGGGGGTGACAGGGGTGACATTCTGCGTGTAAGTGTACAACACTCGGTCTGGCGGACTCCGTGCAACTGCATTGTCAGAGTGTGTCGCCAACCGATGGCGTCTAGTTCAACAGCCTGACTCTCTAATCATTCTTGAAATTAAAATTTGTTGAATGTCACCCCGGCCTGAAATGCTGGCTCCGCCCCTGGAACTTAGATTCAGACTCATTCCAGGGTTAAAGTTAGACTCATGCCAAGGTTAGATTCAGACTCACGCCAGGGTTAGATTCAGTATTACTCCAGGGTTAGATTCAGACTCACGCCAGGGTTAGAGTCAGACTCACACCAGAGTTAGATTCAGACTCATTCCAGGGTTAGAGTCAGACTCATGCCAAGGTTAGAGTCAGACTCACGCCAGGGGTAGATTCAGACTCACGCCAGGGTTAGATTCAGGCTCACGCCAGGGTTAGAGTCAGGCTCAGGCCAGGGTTGGATTCAGACTCACGCCAGGGTAAGATTCAGTCTTACTCCAGGGTTAGATTCAGACTCACGCCAGGGTTAGATTCAGGCTTCCCCAGGGTTAGAGTCAGACTCACCCCAGGGTTAGATTCAGGCTTACGCCAGGGTTAGATTCAGACTCACGCCAGGGTTAGATTCAGACTCATGCCAGGGGTAGATTCAGGCTCACGCCAGGGTTAGAGTCAGGCCCACGCCAGGGTTAGATTCAGGCTCACGCCAGGGTTAGATTCAGGCTCACGCCAGGGTTAGATTCAAGCTCACGCCAGGGTTAGATTCAGGCTCATGCCAAGGTTAGAGTCAGACTCACGCCAGGGTTAGATTCAGGCTCACGCCAGGGTTAGATTCAGGCTCACGCCAGGGTTAGAGTCAGGCTCACGCCAGGGTTAGATTCAGGCTCACGCCAGGGTTAGAGTCAGGCTCACGCCAGGGTTAGAGTCAGACTCACGCTAGGGTTAGATTCAGGCTCACGCCAAGGTTAGAGTCAGGCTCATGCCAAGGTTAGAGTCAGACTCACGCCAGGGTTAGATTCAGGCTCACGCCAGGGTTAGATTCAGTCTTACTCCAGGGTTAGATTCAGGCTCACGCCAAGGTTAGAGTCAGACTCACGCCAGGGTTAGAGTCAGACTCACGCCAAGGTTAGAGTCAGACTCACGCCAAGGTTAGAGTCAGGCTTCCGCCAGGGTTAGAGTCAGGCTCACGTCAGGGTTAGATTCAGGCTCACGCCAGGGTTAAAATTGGGCTGCTGCTAGGGCTCTAGGGGTGAGGCTCGGTTGGAGCTTGAGAGTCACCGCGCGGAATTTGGCGGTGGGGCCGTGAGTCACGGAGCGCGCGGGGGGGGGGGGGGGTCAGTGGACGTCACCCATCGGTTACGAGCTCCCGGAGCCCCCACGGCTCCCGGGGAACGTGGCGACTGCGATGGCGATGCCCACGAGGCCCGTTCGTTTACAATTCACCACGAAAACAACCACAAACAACACAACAACAAACTATGCCATTGTCTGCTAAAAACGTGGACCAGTGGAGGAAATTCCAAGTTCCCATGGCAGTGAAAAGTCTACTGCTGACTTTACACAAGGTGGTACTAATTAAGATGTATCGGCGCCCATAGAGATGATTGGTTGAAATGATGAGCAGACGTCAACTTTATATATTAATCTCACCACGTAAAAAAAAAATCCAACCCCAGATTGTAACTGTCAATACTAGCGAATCGTGAGTCTAGGGGATTTACCTGAAGTTAAAATTACTTATTTACATTTAGAATTACGTATTATAGCTAAACCAAATGTATTTGGCGAGGCTGCTGCTGCTTGCGTTGGCAGTGGTGCACGAGAAAAATCTGCAAATCAAAACAAACCTCAACTCGCTCCGTGTCAACAATAGCACTTCTGTGGCCTTCCAAGGCAAAAACAAGGAACGAACGGCCACTTTTTCACTTCGTAACAGAGACATTAGCACTCCATGGCCTCTCTCTACGTGCTGTACATCAGAACATTTACCTGGACTGGAGGAATCCGATGAGCTATAAAGCGCCTATCGTATAATTTTCACTCGAAAGCCACCGCCGGGGTTATTCGCGAATGTGCCGAGGTGTTTTAATTCCCGATGCCCTAAATCAAGCCACTTGCTGGGACGTAAAAGACCCGCGCCGTCACGACTAGCGAGCCGAGACAATTCCGTGTCCGGGACCATGCTCCATATTCCCGGCGGGTGTAACTGGTGGCTGTAGTCTTCCTGCTAATCCGGCTGTGATTGGTAACGGCGCGCGGCTTGGCTGTGACTGGCAGTGTGCGGCTTGCGGTGGCTGTGGTTTGTGGGAGGCCACCGCTGTCTGTCTGAAGGAAGAGGGGGCAGCGTGTGAAGATGATGACGATGATGTGCTGCAGCTGCTGCTGCTGCCGCCACTGACAATTGATAACACGCATGCTGCTGATTATGATGGCGATGATGCTCGCTGCCTGCTATTGATCCCCGCTGCTACTGATCATGGTATCATTATTGCCCTTGCTGATGACTGAAGACGATGAGGTCAATGCTTCTTATAACGCTGATGCTGCTGCTACTGACGCCGTAGACTATGGCGATTGAATTCCTGCTGATAAGGAAATACAACCCACGTGGTTAATGTACAACCACCATGGGCATACATCGAGACCATTGAGCCCGTAAACTGCCTCTCCCCCTGCCACCACGGATTCCAGCTTCGCGGGGGGGGCGTACGTAGAGGGGGGGGGGGCTTTTAAGAGTTAATTATTTCAGCAGCAGTGCTTTCAAACAAGTACAACTCTTCAACCGGTTTCGACATTCAGCGCCTCATCAGCAGAGCCATGTTTGCTTTCCAAGCAAGGCTGGCGAGCTGCCAGGCAGCAATCGAGGCAAGGATCCCCGCTCTCTGGGTCCGAGTTCGACGCCAAAAGTCGGCAGCACTCGGCGGGGAGAGACGGGGGACGCGAGCTGTCGCCTGCTCATCATTAACCTGCCCCTCTCGGTCAGCCACCATCCCCATACCTCCCACCACGACCCCACAAACAGACTCGGGGCTGTATTATTGCAGCTGATGAAGCCCATTGAGATTAGCAGCTCTCTTACAAGGACGACCACAGCCCAATAGCGTCTCATGACCCCATCATCCAATGACCCAATTAACACAATGACCCCACAACCCAAGAACACAATGACCCCACAATCCAAGAACACAATGACCCCACAACCCAAAAACACAATTACCCCATGACCCAAAAACACAATGACCCAAGAACACAATGACCACACGACCCAAGAACACAATGACCACACGACCCAAAAACACAATGACCCCATGACCCAATAACACAATGACCCCACCACCCAAGAACACAACGACCCAAAAACACAATGACCCCATGACCCACGATCACAATGACCCAATGACCACATGACCCAAGAACACAATGACCCCACGACCCTGTAGCACAATGACCCCACGATCCTGTAACACAATGACCCCACGACCCTGTAACACAATGGCCCCACGACCCTGTAACACAATGATCTCACGAGCCACTCACTTGGGCAGGTAGCGTACATTCTCTCCGCACTGATCCTCGAAATCCCGCCACGACCGCTTGCGACGCAGCGGCGACTTGACGGGAGACGATGCGGCGACCGGCGGCAGGGACGCGAGTCGCCCCGCAGGGGACGAGGCGAAGGGGGACGTGGAGGAGGTCGTGGAGAAGTTGGAGTAGGACACGGACGATAGCCGCCGGAGCGACGCCGAGCGGCCGGTCTCGTCCGAGCCCTCGGACACGTTCCTGAAGCCGTCCTCGAAGTCGCCGTAGCTGATGGCGCCGTCGCGGTCGCTGTCGAGAGACTGGAAGAGCGCGGGCACCTCGTGCGACTCGACGCCGAGGTCCCTGCACAGGCGCTTAAAGTCCTCGTACTCGAGGCGGCCCGTGCCGCGAACGTCGCACTTGCGGAAGAGGGTCGCCAGGTCCACCTGGTCGCCCATCGCCGGTGGAACTCCCGAGGTCTCGGCGGAGAGGTGGGTCCTGGGGTGAGCGTCTGAGATCCCGAGCTGCCGAGATCGGGGAGAACTTTGAGTTCGCCTTGGGATTATTCCGGCTGCCGGCTAGCAATGCCTTCTCATCCACATCAACCTCCTCTCACCTCGTCGTCTCTCTTCTTCCTACTCCTCCTCAAGATGCGTCCATATCTGTGGGCACGGATGTTGATACCGGCGGTGATGTGAGCGGGATGATGATGATGTCGTTGATGGTGATGATGCCACCCACCCCTTACCCCCCAATCTCACTCTTAACTCCTCCTCCTCTAAACTTTCGTTCCGAATCTTCCTTTCAATAAAATCGATGTTGAATTGAGCCGCGAGCGACACATCAGCTGTTGTAGTTGAACGTCGGACGCTTGGGCGACTCGAGGGACGCGTGGGCGACTCGAGAGACGCGTGGCCGACTCGAGGGACGTGTGGGCGACTCGAGGGACGCGTGGGCGACTCGAGGGACGCGTGGGCGACTCGAGAGACGCGTGGGCGACTCGAGAGACGCGTGGGCGACTCGAGGGACGCGTGGGCGACTCGAGGGACGCGTGGGCGACTCGAGAGACGCGTGGGCGACTCGAGAGCACGCGAATGGACGCTCAACGACGAGCCGTTCGTTCAGCTCGTGCGCGGACACGACACGGACCGCGGAATCGCAGCACCCTGACCGATGGCGACTGCGTAAGGGATGTCTTTATCTAGCGGTGGATATTTCATGGCTCATGTTGCTGACGACGACGGATATCTATGAGCTAACACACGCGAGCACGCGCGATAGCCACGTCTGAGCGGCACGCCGCACTAACGCGCATCTGCGGAGTGCGGCGAGCAGGAGGCGATGGGACGTGGCGTGCCAGACGGAGTCGGCGAGATCCCCACCCCCTACCTCGGTACAGCACTCGCGAGGTCTCTCCCGCGAAGTTGCTCGGCGACTCCCCGGGGTTGATTCGAGAACTCTCAGCCAGTCAGTCGTTGTTGTTGTTGCAGTCGTGGGTAGCGGAGACGAGGGGGCGAGCGATGACGACTGTCCCCGGCGCGACGTCGTCTCCGCGCCCTCATCCCGCCGAGGCTGCGCAGGTGCAGCGTACAGGTGAGGGGGGAGGGGGAGGAGCAGCGCACAGGTGAGGGGGGAGGGGGCGGAGGAGGAGGCGCCGCGCCGACGTCACCGCGGCGCGCGCGCGAGTGACGCGCGGCTATTTTGGAGGTGCGGAGGATCGCAAAGCCAAGCACCGTGGCGAGCGAATACAGAGATACATACACACAGCTAGTATACATGGGTGTTAAACATAGCTAGTGTACATGGGTGTTAAACATATGTAGTATATGAGGGTAGTATACGTGGGTATAATATATGGTTATAAGACATGGGTATAATATATGGGTGTTATACATGTGTTGTGAATTACCAATTATAGATGATGATAACCACGTCTTGATTGAAGACGTGAATCGCATGACTCAGAGGGTGTTGTTGTAGCCGCTGAGGTCAGTCACACGGATACACACTCACACACGACAAAGATCTCCCCGTATAGCCTCAACAGCCTGTTGGGGAAAGTGCTGTGAGCAAACACCCACGAAGGCCCCTGCACGCCAAACAAGGGGGTGGGTGACCAGCACCACTCCGGAACACTCACACACGCACGCATTCATATCGAAAGACATACACACAGGGATACTGTTAGATGCTCACGCAGACACACACACACACAGACAGCTACGTACAAAGATCTACCGTAGAGTTGTCAAGACTGTTGGGGCAAAAGCTGTTAGCAAGGTAGTTTTGTGTTGTCCGTGCCCGGATTCGCAGAGCAGTGCGCTAACCACCGCGCCACCACTTCCCACAACTCACACAGTTCACACACAGAGACAAAGACGCACTTGATCTGGGGACAGGCTTCTTGCTAATTCACGCGGAACACAATGACAGTGGAGGATGACTCTGTAGATCAACTATTTCAAGAAATGCAGCGAATTAGTGGCATCAATGTATCTGTACTCTGCGGAACGATACAGATTTGTATCATGGCACCTTTATTCCAGTATCAAAGTATGAAAAATAAGAAAAATAATAATGATTCGTTTTTGAAACAAAGCTGCTGGGTGGTATCGGGCTGGATTTGACGACGAGATTTGGAAGTCGCGTTTCTAATGTGAATTTAAAATAATACATTTTATTTTCACCTCCTGTGTGCTTTTTTAGTCAATGTAATTTGTAAGACGTTATCATGTTGATGTTATAGGATTTGACCAAGTGAAGCAGTGATTTGCGCACCGTGCGATGAACCCGGTGGCCTGAGTTCGATTCTCAGCCACGGCTAACGTCAGTGGCGCGTGACATCTCAACGGGTTCTGAGTCCCGCCCTTCGTCCTCCTACACTGAACCAGCGTGGTGAAGTATGGTCAAGTAACCCATTCGACGACAACTTGTGGGGGGGGGGGGGGGGCAGGCCTTCATCCAGGAGTGACTTTACACGAAACAAACGCCGAATTGTCTTTCGGATGCTATTTGTTTGAAGCCGACTTTATTTAGAATGTTCGATTGTTTATTTTTTTAATCACTTCTGAGAGTTCTAATCCCCTTCCTGCTGTCCACACTGAAGCTTCTCGCTCCACCTCCCTCTCCACGGACACCCCTAGCAACACCGACGGGGCTCCCCGCCACTCCGTTGGGGTCCTGTACGGTCCGATTAGAGACGAGAGTAGAGTCACGGATTAGAGCCGAGAGGAAAGCCACGGGGAACTTTACTCACTCGCCAGGAGCACGTAACTTGTCAAACCTCAGCGCTGTTTTTTTGAAAACTCAAACTTAAAGGTGACATTTGGATGAGATGATTGGCCATCTAACGAAACAGTGTCTCATTTGAGGGGCCGACATTTGTAAATACATCGGGTGACTGACAATTTGGCACGCGGCGAACATGCGCGGTGTGGTTTGGTTTTTGTGGCGAAGCGTAATTGAGCTGCGTCTCCGCGGTTGTGTGGGAGAGAGAGGAGAGAGATAGAGGGATGGAGGAGGAGGAGCGGGGCGGATTGCAACGTTGAATGGCGGTTGGAGTCATTGTCCTTCCCAGGGCCCTTCCCTGCCCATGACGCAGCCATCGCTGACTGACAGACCCCACGGAGACGCGAGGGGCGCGCCGCGAGACGCGGACAACGGCACGGCCCGGGCATCGCGCGACTTGTTGCATCCCAGTCGGGCTTTGGGCGAGCGACTGATTACTTTGCTTGCGCAATTTGAGCACAAAAATGTGATTGTTACCACCGTGTCTTGGCCAACTTTCGTACTGCACTGCATCTCGCTCTGTCAACGACACCGCGCGCCCATTGAAAGTATGATAGCAGGCGCGACGTTTCAGGCAATAGACCTTCTGCACGGCACACATCCAATGAATGCAGAATGAATTTTGCCCATTTATTTTTGCGTCAAAAATAGACTTACAGCGTGTTCATAATACAACAACAATAAGCGACAAAAACCGCTTCGCTCATCGCTTCGCAAACCTTTTGCGTAACAAGTGAAGCCCCGGCAGTCAGAGTGGCGTACAGCAAACAGAGCGACGGCAGCTCACTCAGCCGGCGGCGATCAGGGACCTTCGAGAAGTCTTCGCGCCGAGCCCCGAGGCCCCCAGGGGGTCCGCTTACGCTGCACGTTCTCCGCGTGTCTCCCGCCAGAAGTGCTTCTCGTGCCACTGTCGGCTCATCGGCGGCGGCGGCGGCAGCAGCGGCGCCTTTCATTTCCATTCCGGTGGTTTTAAATGAATGCGATTCACGCCGGCGAGACAATGTATTTCCAGTACACGCAAAGACAACGACCCCCCCCCCCCCACCACTCGTATTGTCTAAGTAGATTGTTGGGCCAAGTGCTGCCGACGGGAGCCGGCATGGCACGCGAGGGGGTGGGTGTCCGGCCAAGCACCACTAACGGCCGCCTTTGTCTCCACGATGTGAATGTGCAGCACACCGCATCAGGCACTCGCTTCAGGTTGAGTTGATCTAAGGGAAGGGGCCCAGTACCCATTCAAATATGCGTCACTGTCATTGATGGTGAGCGGGAGCGCTAACCCACAACGCCACGGCATTCTCTGTACGTAGGTCTGCACACAGTAGACCTACACACAGGCAATGCGTCCTTCGAGTTACATTGAGAGACAGAAAGATGAGCACGTGGATTCTGAGACCACACGCAGATGACAGGCATCATCGTCCACGCTGTTGCGAAAAGTGCCTTTGGGCGTGACGCGTCCCGGCTCGGAGGGACGATGTCCGACGGTCCGGAACAAGGGCGGAGCGGCAGAGCCACCGAGTAGAACGAGCTCGAGAGAGGCCTTGGCGCGAATGGGACGAAGTGTCGTCATAGCCTCTTGCCATGACAACTGTTGACTGATCTCCAAGCAGCGTGTGACGAGCAGCTCGCGCGGCGCGCACGCCCCGCTCATCACACGGGGAGCAGCAATCGGGGCGCGTCCTCTGCTGCGTTCGCGTGTCCGTGGGCAGCTCACGGGGCGGATCCTGCCAGGGCGGCGCTCGGAATGCGAGTCGGACTGGTTTTTCAGGTCTCTGCTTCGAGTCGTTTTGCTTTGTATTATCGCGCTGTTCCTTTCGAGAGTAACAATACTACCTTCGCCATCATCACCGTCATCATTTACAGCAGCAGCAGCAGCGGTATTGACGTCGTTGAGGAAAGTGTCAGTGGAAAGGAATTTGTAAGGAACACGGTGGTGGAGGTAAAGGCGCAGCCCTGCAATCCCCTGCAGCCCGTTGTCACTGGTGGACGGGCCTCAACTAGAGGGGGGTCTAGAGAGCCCCTCAAGAGGGTCTTGGTCTACTCTTCCACGCCGGCCCGGACGTGTTGGCAGAGGTGGGAGTGGAGAGTCTACCGCGATGAACATTTAACTCCCCGTTCACGATGTTCGTCTTTGTTAAAAATGTGCTGATCGTCATTAATCCGGGAAAGTTTGCCAGAATATCAAGATTCTTCCTCAGGAGGGTCCCTGCTACAGTGATTGTTGTTCAGCTTCGCGTGAGCGGAAACCCGAGAAGCCGGAGTAAACCCCCACCGCACACGAGGAGCTGAAGCGCAACACTCCCAACTCCTGGGCACACCGCTCACAGCCCTTGCCGACAGCAACTGGCATCGGCCCGGTGCAGGCCACCCATCGAGGCGCAAGCCAGGCGCAACGCCCGCTTAGCTTCCGAGATCCGCCGAGATGAGACGCATCCAGGCCGATCGAAGGTCATGCACTTTCGTTGTTGTTATCAAGATGGGATTTCGTCGTGCGGTCCAATTGTTCTCCATAGGAGGCTTTCGCGACCGATATTATCCATAATAGAGGTTTTTGGGTTAGATCGCGTAAATATATAAATGTGTCGTTAAACCCGCCACCACCCGACGCAGCCAATTAGCAAGGTTTGTCACGTAAACAAACACGACAATTTGTTACGAGTACTGGCATGTTTTGCTTAAGCGACACACCTTACAGAACTGGCTGTGTCGGCTGGTGGCGGGTATAACAACACATGTATATATTTACGCGATCTAACCCAAGAACCTCTGTTATGGATAATGTCGGTTGCGAAAGCCTCCTTCGTGTCACACGAGTCAATTGCACCTCAACAGATTCTCCCTAACAACAGATTCTCCCTAACAGCAGAGACAGCGCGCGGCGTATTTGCTGACGGTAGCACAAAGATTTCAAACCGGTACTTAGTTTGCTCTGTGTCGTGGATCGCCCAAAGGCAACACAACTTCATCACCAGCGCGCATGTGCGGCTGTGCGTCAGTGCGCGCGTGCGTGTCGGTGGTGGGGAGCGGTGGTGTAGTGGTGAACGCGCTGCGCTACGAACCTGACGAGCAGGGTTCGATTCCCGCTGACTAGGCCAACACCGGTGACGATTATCTGAACCGGTCCTGGGCCTCCCCTAGGTCGATTCAGCCTCAAATGAGTACCTGGTGGTATGTGTAAACATCGTCATTAAGGAGACAAAGGTGGCCTCGTGTGCCGTGCCGGCCTTCATAGGTGTTCGCTAACACCACTTGCCCCTACAGTCTGTTAAGGCTATACGGGGGTATCTTTGTCTTTGTTTTGTTTGTGTGTGTGAATGG